GGCGGACGAAATCAATCCAAGACGCGGCCATGTTCGACCCTACATGGACCCAGCTCTGAGTCACAAGCGCCCCGCCTACATCGGCCTGGTCAGGCGGCTGCTGAAGGTGGGCTTGGCGCGACTCTACTACGTGCCGTTGCCGGGTGGGAGTCTTCCTCGCCGAGAAGAAGGGCGATCGCCAGCGGCTGATTCTGGACTGCCGCCCGGCGAATCGTCTGTTCAGGAGCCCGCCCGTGGTCGGCTTTGTCAGTGGCGACGGCCTCAGCCGCATCGAGAGGTCGACGGCGGGCGGCGCTGACCGAGGCGAGGAGCTGGACGACGCCCTGGGCGGCCTGGACACTTGGCTCGGCGCAAGCAACGTGAAGGGCTGCTTCCACAGGCTCCTGCTCGACGACGCGCCTGGGCTGCAGGAGTTTTTCGGCCACCCCCCGCCACGGGCGCGCGAGCTGGGCCCAACGCAGCCGGGCGGCGCGGCGCCTGGCAAGGACACGCTGGCATGCCCCATGGCGCGCGCGCGGCCGATGGGATGGGCCCGGTCGCTGCACTTCGCCCAGTCGGCCAACGCGCGCCGCATGGCGAAGCTGCGCGAGCTGGAAGGCGCGCCGGAGATGACCGGCCGCGGGCCCCCGCTGATCCTGGACGGCCCGCGGGCCTTGGGCCATTACGCCTACGTCGACGATATCGGGATGTTCGGCGGGGCGGAGAGCAAGGCTCACGCGGCCCCGACGGCGGCCACGAAGTCTTTTGGCGCCGTCGGCCTCGAGGCGCACGAGACTTCCTTAAGCAGCGCAGGCGGCGAGGCCTTGGGCGCGCAGCTGGGCGGGCGCGCAGGCCGCGCGCTTCAACGAGGCAGACTACACTGCTTCATCCATCGATCGTGCGTTCATCAGCCCCCCCTCCCACGCGGCGCAGGAGCCCTCGACGGCTGCCCATGTTCTGCGCGACCCCGCCATCCTCTCTGACGAGCGCCTCGGCGACCACGCCATCACTTCCATCTCGATCGGCATCGAGCCGCGCGCGCCACCTGCCAAGCGAGCCATTCCCCCAGCTGCGCTCCGCGACGCCAACTACGCCGCATACTTGCAGAACATCATCGACGCTGCGGACACGCACCTCCCCATCGAGGCCCTCTGACGGCTGCGCAAGCATTGCGTGTCAGAAGCTGTCCGCATGGTTCGGGGCGACTGGGTCCGCCGCAGCTCGGGGGACCTCGCCAAGCCAGGTTTCTTGGGCGGCAGGATCATCTCCTCGCGCTTGATCTCGCGGGCGATCTGGCCCCAAGATGTTCAGCCGGCACGACGCCTCCACGCTATCACGGATCTGGGGAAGCGCTTCCTCGACATCGACTTCCCGACCCTGGAGCTCACCGATGGCGCCCAGTTCGCGAACCTCTCGTCATCCTTGCACCGCGACTTCGAGGTGCGCAAGCGCTCTCTGGCGCAACGGGCGGCGAGGCCCCCGCGGGGCCACCCAGAAGCCTTGCCCTTTGTGAAGCTCCAATGGAGGGTGCTGCAGGTTTCTTAGATGCGCGCCCTCCTCTGGGCCCCCTGGAAGCGCCGCCTCGCCCTCCGCGGGATCAAGACCACGGGCCTAGTTGGCCCTTCTGCCGTTGCCAGAAAGAGCGGCAAAAATGGTCGACGCCCTGCGCAACCACTGGCGCCCCGTCCACGCATGCAAGACCGTCGTCTCCGACGCCGTCCACGCGCGCATCGACATGCGCATGCCGCAGGGGGACAATCTGGACATCCTGCCGCCATCCACGCACCAACTGCGGGCCTTCCTGGAGCGGACTTCCCCTTCGGCGCCTGGCCCAGACAGATTGCCGTGCAAGCCTGGGATCGCCCACGACCACTCGCTCTCCATCCTGGAGGACCTGGCTCTCCACCTCTGCTCCGGGCACTCGACCCCCTGTGACCTGAACGATTCAGACTTTGCATGCCTTCCGAAGGATGACGACCTTCTGGGCGAGTTCACGACTGACCGCCTACCTACCCGAAGACAGTCGCCCCATCTCGCTGAAGAACACTGACATCAAGGCCATCGCAGGCGCCGCGAACCACCTCATCAAGCCGTTCGTTGCCGAGCGAATTCACAAAGCGCAGCAGGGCTTCGTCACGGGCAGGAACTTCACGCAGCACAGTGCGCGACCGGACGCTGAAATATGTCGTGTTGGCCTCTCGGACAACGCCTTGGAGCGCCACCCCATCTTCGTCAGATTCGGCTTCGCAGCGGCGTTCCCGTCTCTCGGCAGAACGTGGCTCTTCAAAGCGCTGCGCCGCTTCGGACTGCCGACGGGCTACATGCACCTGCTCGAGGCCATGTACTACGCGCCCGCTTCCTCGGTCAAGGTGGACGGCGCGCGCCGCCCCCCGTTCGCGATCGAGTCGGGCGTCGCCCAGGGCTGCCCTGCGAGCCGGCCCGCCCGGGCGATTGCAATGGGCCCTCTGGTCCGCCACGTCGCCGCCGCCTTCGAGCTGGACAACGCGGATGGCTACCCCGCCGAACTTCTTGGGCGCGTGCGCGGACGACCTGGGCATCGCGTGCGAATCCATCGGAGTGCTCGGCGAAGTGACTGAAGCCTTCGATGCCGCTAACATCGCACCCCTCTCGCACAAGCCTCGCAAGCGCGTTGCTGCCCCTGCTTGGCCGGCAGCGCCGCCTGCCGCCATTGCCCACGCCCAGGACCTGCTCTCCGCGATCGCGCCCTCCTGGCGCGCGTTTTCGATCGAGGGGCGCGCCAAATACCTCGGGATCTCTCTTGGCCCGCCGGCCTGCCTGGCTGACCAATGGCACGCCCCTGCGCAGAAATTGCGGCAGTGCGCCCACTCGCTGCAGCACGTGCACTCTGGAAGCGACGCCACAGTTCGTCTCTATAGCACGTCAGCGCTGTCTACTTTAAGCTATGGGGCATTACGTCTTCCACGAGATGCTAGGTCTGCCGCCGCACACACTTCCGCAAGGTAGGCGATGGCGGATTGGTCGCCGCCACTTGTGATTCGCTCGTTGCAGGTCATGTCTGTCGCCGCTGCCGCTCGTTCTGCATCGCGCACTCTGGCCGAGCTATGGGGGCATCGCTTCAATCTGCTCCGCGACACGGCGTGGGAGGAAAGTGCAGTTCATTATTTCCATCGCTGGTTGGACGGGCCGTGGCCCCCCAGCTTCTGGGAGCAACCGCGCGCCATTGCGCAGCGCTACGCCCAGCTGCGAGACGCGCAGCGCACCCCTCCCCCATTCACACCAGCGACGATGCATGACGCCCACCGCGCAGCGCAGGCGCTTCGGCGTTGGAAGCCCAGCCGCCGCGCCACCACCACTTCCAGAGAGTCTTTGCTGCATCTTTTCGCAAGTCCGCACTCGCCTCGCCCTTCACAGTCACCCTCACAGAGCGGGCTGGCGTGTGGAACCCGAGCTACTGTCCGAGCGATGGGAGTCGCTCACCAATTCCCCGCGCAGCGTTCGCCCCAGCTGGCGCTGGGCAACACTCAAGACCCTGGCTGGCGGGTGGACGACCACCGCCCGCACGCGCGCGCTCGCGCCACGCAGCTGCATGTTCGGTTGTTGCGAGCAGCCAGATCCATTCCCCCACTACCCCTCCTGTCCTCGCCTCTTGAGCCTCCTCTGGCCCCCCGACCTCCCACCCATCATCAGCGCGCTGACGAGCTGGGGGCCGGGCCCCCCAGCAGCCGACCCGCTTGTGCCGAGCGAGTTGTCGCCCCGGGCCACCATCCGACGCATCGCCCTCGCGGTCCAGCTTTATAGCAAATTCAGAACGGCCGCGGCCAGCCAACCAAACGCGCTGCTGGCTGCTGCCCGCGCTCTAGTCGTGCGCTAGCCGAACTCTCCGCCTAGCGCACGTCGGCCGAGCCCCAGGAGACACGCTCGCCTCGGGCTGCCCGCACTCCTCCTCCTCCTCCTCTTCCTCCTCCTCCTCCTCCTCCTCCTCCTCCTCCTCCTTCCTCCTCCTCCTCCTCCTCCTCCTCCTCCTTTTCCTCCTCCTCCTCCTCCTCCTCCTCCTCCTCCTCCTCCCTCCTCCTACTCCTACTCCTCCTACTCCTACTCCTACTCATCCTCCTCCTGCTCTTCCGCCGCCTCTTCGTCCTCTCCTCCTCCTCCTCTCTCTCCTCCTCTCCTCCTCATCCTCCTGCTCCTCCTCCTGCTCCTGCTTCTCCTCATCCTCCTCCTCAACCTCCTCTTCCTCCTCCTCCTCCTCCTCTCCTCCTCCTCCCTCCTCGTCATCCTCCTCCTCCTCCTCCTCCTCCTCCTGCTCCTCCTCGTCTTCCTTCTCTTGCACCTCCTCCTTCCTCCTCCTCCTCCTCCCCCCTCCTCCTCCTCCCTCCTCCTTCTCCTCCTCCTCCCTCCTCCTCCTCCTCCTCCTCCTCCTCCTCCTCCTCCTCCTCCTCCCCGCCCCCCCTTCGGAGTCGATGCTGCGCATGCTGCTCTTCTGCGATTCGCCATTGGGATCCCCCCTTCGTGGCGCGGTTTCTTTTTTCCTCCGCCACGTAGTAAGTGGTCCCAGATGATACGGATCGGGGGCATCACTGCATCAGTAAGCCCCCCCTCTTCCCATACCTTTGTTCCTCCTCCCCCTCCCCTTTACCTCTGGACTGCGCTGTGCGCTTCTGGATTATATGAGTGGCCGTTTGGGCCATATGGGAGATTCCCCACGACGCCGTTGCCCCTTCGCCTCGTCCCACCCTCGTTCTTCCTCCTCCTCTTCCTCGCCCTCGTCCTCCTCTTCAGTTTTTTTTCGCATTTGTGGGTCGAATTTCGCGACATGTTCGTTGCGTTCCGACGCGCCGACTGCCTTATTTCCTTGCGTGTCTTTGCTGCCGCAGAACAGTGCTTACAAGAAGAATGGCGACACGCTGTCCAGAAGTTCCCCACCGCAGAGGGTCTTATCCCTGTTGAAGCCTTCGGGGGCCGTCTTGGGGCCTCTCTGTGCCCGCTCTTCCTCCCTGCTTTCCTGCCGCCTCCCCCCCCGCGCCCGCCTCACCAACGAGGACCTCGAGCTCTCCAGGGCCGGCGACCGCGCGGATGCCAGCCCAGCGTGCAGCCGCAGCCCCCGGGCGGACCAACGCCAACGCAAGAGCGCCGCAGCGGGCACCTCCAGGCACGTTTTCGTCGTCGCCGCCGCCGTCGTCGTCGTCGTCGTCAACGTCGGCCAGATATGGGCGCCAACGCGGCCTCGTTTTCTTTGTCCGGGCCGTCGTCCTCAACGTCTTTGGTTTGCAGGGCTGCGCCGGCCAGAAGCATGCCGTGGGCTGCCCCTTGACTGTTGGAAACAGACTTGCATGATGTTGAGCGCTTACGCCGAATATTGGGCATTCTGGCCGCACGTGTGTGACAGCCTTGGCTACGTGCAGATAGTCGCACGTCTGCCCCCTTGCCTTCCCCTCTGTTGCTTTAGCCCTGCCCCTTTTAATTTTCCCGATTTGACGACAGAGCGTATATATGTAGGTCCCTCCCGAATCGGGTCATTGGCGGTCCGGGTCTCCCCAGACACTGACGTGTTCGTCGTAGGACGATTCCAAGGTGATCCAGAGTGAGTTTTTGCGCGTGCCGCTGCGTATGATCCACGACATTTCACGTTCCCCAAGCAGTGCTTGCGCTGAAGGGTCTTACCTGCTTTTCTCAGGCAGTGGCTGGCATTTCCGGGTTTCGTCCGCTCGCCGCTTCGTTGCCGCCTCGCCACCTCGCCGCCGCTTCGTCCGTTGGCTGAACTTTCGGGTTTTCGCCTGGTCGGCGCCCGTCGCCGATTCGCCAACGCCCCGAGATTGCACCACATGGCTTCGTTACATACGCTTCGCTAGCACAACATGAGAGTTCAGAAGGGATACCTGTCTCCCCCCCCCCTCTCCTCCCCAGACTTCTCCCCGCCCCCCCAACACGTACTATGGTTTTCTCCCCACCCGACAGGGGTCATTAGATTTCAAAGAACGGATCTCTCGACCCGCCCACCATACCGCGGCAGCCAACTCGGATCCCCAGGTCAACCGAGAGTCTCCGAGATTCCCACCCCGACCCGACCCGCCCACTTTGCATACCGCGGCCGCCAGATCCCCAGGTCCACCGAGAGTCCCCGAGACTCCCGCCCCCCTGATCATGACAGAACAGAACTATCAGTACAGAGAATCACATAACACAGCATGACATAGCAGAACATAATAGCTGGACACGTCGTCACATACTTTAACACTACACATGGTACAGCATCACAGAGCAGGACAACACATAGCATAACAAAGTAAGATATGACCGAACTGATCATACACAACCTATTACAACATCGCAGCAGTGGATGGCAACATAGCAGATCATAGCATAACACCTTAGCATGGCATTGCGTACCACAACATAACATATGACAGCGCCACATGACATGCCTTTCCGTAACATGACAACGCATACCATGCTATACCGCGACCTGGCAGAGACCATACATACCCTTGTTCTCGCTCTCGCTCCCTCCCTCGATCAGCCTCTGCGTGTCGGGGTGGGCGCAGCTCGGAGAACTCGATCGAAACGACCGATACCCTGCTATCGCGGCCAATCCCCCGTTGCTACTGCTCTGGGAGATAGGCGCTCGTTTTGCTTGGGCCCAAACGCCGGCGCTGTAGGTCAGCGTGTCAGTCCAATGAACGGGTCTTCACCCCGCACAAATCACACCCATACTATTTTCTCAGACTAAGCGTGCCTACGAGCCGACGCTGGCTCAGTTCAACAACAATCAAGAAATATGTAAATATGGAGGTGCCGCGCACTCACGATATCATGAGCGATTGGGTCATGTAGTAGTTTATCCCGTCGAGGATCGTCTGGTCGTCGGTGCTCTCGAACGGTTCAAGAGTTCACGCTTCTGCTTTTCCAGGCGGCTCGCCTTCACCTCCGCTCGAAACTTCTTCTCCTCGGATCACCACATTCGTGTCTCGGTCCACGAGCAGTGTGTCACAAAGGCGGCAACGCACCTTCTCCTTGCACTGGTTGGTGCCAACAGTCGTCAGCTGATCCGCTGGATGTATACATTCATCTGGGTCAAATCTGCATGCTTTTGACATGCGGACGCGAGCACGCGCGCAGCCGCGGCGCTCGACCCCACCCAAAAGCTCAGTCCGGGACCTTTGGGAGCTGCGCAATGCGTTGCGCAGCCAGGCATGCAAACGCCTCCGCGCTGCCTCCCGCGCAGGGCAATTCGCCAAGGAGCACCGCCGCCTGGCACCGCGCCGGCAGACGCTCCCGCCAGCCCGGGCACACGCTCCCCAGCAGGCCAACTGCCGACGTCGCACTGCCGCCGCAGCGGAGGCAGAAGACGTGGCCGGGCCCGCGCGCGAGGGCGTGGGGCCACCAAGAACGCCCGGCGAAAAACGCGGCCAGCATGTCGCCGTGGCTGACGGGCGTATCAGCGCCGCTCTGGCGCGGGCAGGCCGGCGTTTGCGCCACTTGGCCAGCGGGGGCGTCGGCCGCCGGGGCGGGCGCCGCGCGGGCCCGGGCGCCGCGGCTAACCCTGCGCCAGTCGCGCCGGCGGCGGCGCGCGGCAGGCAGCGCCGCTGCGAGGGCGGCCTGGTGCGCGGTGGCCATAACGCTCTGCGCAACCTCCAGCAGCTGCAGCTCCTGGCAATGGGCGCGCGCGCCTCCGCCGGCGTCTTGTGGGCTGGCACCCAGCGGGCCCGAAACCGCCCGCTGCGCACGGCGCCCGCCAGCGAGTGCCAGAGGTCTGCGTGCTCCCAGGCCCGCGGGTCGGCACCAGCCTCGATCTTGGCGCACCCCCGCACCGCGCATTGGCTGTCCGAGGCAACGTCGACCGGGCCGTCAGCAACGCGAGTTGGCGCCACCGCAGCTGTCACCTCGGCCCTGCGCGCCGTCTGCAACCCGTCGGCCGGCCCCGCGAGGTCGGGGGCTGCCAGTCCCTCGACCCGGAGGCCCCGGGCCGCTAGCGCTGGCAGCGGGTCAACGGGGCGAAGGCATGCCCCGTCGCTCCACACCGCGCGGCGGGGCGCTTCTGGTAGCAGCGCCGCTTGGGCCGGTAGCTGCGGGTCTTCGCGCCCAGCGGCATCTGCGAGGGCAGCGGCGGCATCGCCAAAACCCTTGTCAGGGCGACCCCCGCTGGCAGCAGCCCCTGCGAAGCCCGGGCGCCCCCAGGCAGCCCCCCCCGACCGCGGCGAGGCAGCAGGCACAGCACGGCGCGGGCCCTCCCACGCTGGGCGCAGCCAGAACCTATGCTCGTGGTCCTCGGTGGCCAGCCTGCAGCGCGGGCGCAAGCCCGCGTCGCCCCTCCCTTGCACGCAGCGCGGGGGTGCGCGAGCTCGGCGAGGAGGGCCCCCGGGTCCGAGAACTTCGCACCCAGAGGTCTAACAGATAACGAAAAGTCATCCGATGATTTTGGGGTTATCCAACCACTTCTCTGGCAACCTCGCTATGCAGCAAAATTTGTGATTTCGATTGGAGTGCTGAGTTCGTGCTGCTTCAGTTTAGCTTCCGCACGTTGCCAAGGTTTGCCGAGGTTTGAAATTGGAAACGAACACCACCTGAACGGTTGAGCATCATTACGCATAAGATTGAGCCAGATGGGAAACATGATAGATGGGAGGAGGGTCGAAGAAACATGCACAGGGCACGCTCGGGCCCTGGGAGGCGCCCCCCGCACCCCCCCCCCCCTCCCTTCCCGCCCCCCATCTCCCATCCCCCCCCCCCCCCCCCCCCCCCCCTTCCTCCCCCCCCCCTCGCCCCCCCCCCCCCCCCCCCCCTCATCCCTCTCCCGTCCTCTTCCTCTTCAGCATCCGCCTCCTCATCTTAATCTTCTTCCTCGTCCTCTTCCTGCCTCTTTCCCCCTACCTGCACGTGAAGTTCGCCTGCTACGCGAACTTCGAATCCCGCGGCGCGTTCGGCTCGGGCGCGCCCACGGTGCGCCGCGCCTGACCCTATTTCCCCTCTCCCCCCGCCCCCTCCTCACCCCCCCCCCCCCTCTCCTCGTCTCCCCCCTCATCGCCCTCGCCCTCCAGTCTCTCATCGCCCCCATCCTCGCCCCCCTCTCCGCCCCCCCCCCCCCCCCCCCCCCCCCGCCTTCTCATCGTCCGCGTCCTCGTCGTCCTCCTCTCCCTCCTCCTCCTCGCCTTCCTCCTCCTCCTGCCCCCGTCGTCGTCATCATTATCTCCCTCTTCCTCCTCCTCGACCTCCTCGCCCTCCGCGCGCGCTTCCGCCCCCCCCCTCCTCGTCGCCGTCGCCCGTTGCGTCCTCCTTCGCACCCTCGTGCCTCAGCCGCGCGGCGGCGGGGGGCGGGCGGGCTTGGATTCGGGCAGTTCGGGGGCGGGGCCCCAAAGCAACGCGAGGGCCGCGCCCCGAGGAGCGCACGCGCGGAGCCAACTGCGCGGAGGAGGAACGCGCGAGAAAGAAGTGGCGAGGGGCGACGAAGGGGAAGGCGAGGGTGGGAAGGGAGGAGCACGAGGAAGAGGACGCGAACGGGGAGAGGTTGATTGGGCAGAGAACGAGGAGCAGGAGGACGAGGAGGAAGACGAGGCGGATGCTGGCGACGAAGAGGAGGATGCAGATGGTAATGGCGAGGGGGCGATATGGGGGCGACGAACGATGAATCGCCGAATGGCGAGACAGACGAGGTTTCGACTTCACGAAACGACGCCGGCAGCATGACTGCAACTGTCCACCTCGCCCCCCATCGTTTTCAAACTCTTTAATCACGTTTTAGGCCAAACGAGGCAGATCATTATCTTCAGACGGAATTGTGCGCGACATCGCGAGTTCACCCCCGCACGTCGGACAGATGATGATGACGGGTGCCGTTTTCACGCTGACAGGGCGAACAGATGGGCCGTTGAAAATCAGAAGTTTGAGAGCGGTTGGTGGGGGTGGGTATGTAGTTGTTGGCATGGTGTATCCCCCCTCGCATTCCGTTCGGCTCCGCCCACCGCGATCGGTCGTCGTGTCTGTTTTCGGTTTGCTTCCAGCACTACACAGTTTATGCGATAACACTGGCGGTTCGCCTGGGACTTCTTCCAATGATAATGATGATGTTTCATGTTGCCTGAATGTCTGACTGTTGATAGAGCCGACAGATTTTGTTTATGCCCGAATACCATCATAATGGGCGTTGCGATGGAA